AAGTGAATTGTGTTTTACCAGTAGATAGGTTTTTGTGGATCTGGTGGTATTTGAGAGACTGAGGGTGGGGTAATGCGGACCAAGCTGGTTCAATTCAGCCACATTTGGGAGTACCTGCCCATGGTGGGCCCAGGACCAGGTGCTGCTGATCTGGGGTCCTCCCTGCTGTTCTTGAGACAGAACTCTGCTTAAATGCACCCTGGCTATAGTGTGTCCAAGAAACCCCTAATGCTCGTCCTTTCTGTGACCCTTCCAGACGTGGATGAATGCCGGACCATCCCCGAAGCCTGCCGAGGAGACATGATGTGTGTTAACCAAAACGGCGGATATTTATGCATCCCTCGAACAAACCCGGTGTACCGAGGGTCCTATTCAAACTCCTTCTCGACCCCTTACTCAGGCGGTCCGTACCCAGCAGCTGCCCCACCGCTGTCAGCTCCAAGCTATGCCACGATTTCCAGGCCTCTCATCTGCCGCTTTGGGTACCAGATGGATGAAAGCAACCAGTGTGTGGGTGAGTAGTCCGGCATCTGGCCTTCTCTCCCTCATGCTTGGTCGGATTGCTGGCTACTGTTCAATCAGTCAGCGAGCTTCCTGTTCAGATACTCCACTCACCGGAGCCTCTATCTCTGGGGTCCCCTTTCACTTTGGGATCTAACGAGCTGTCTCATTCACAGCTCGCAAGACAGTTGACTTCCCCTCTCCTTTGTTTTAATTCATTACTTGTGTCTATATTTAATTGGAAGCAAAAGTGGCATTCACTTCCTTAATAGTTTGCCTCCGGAAACCCTATGAACCTGGAGAAAGGATGAAAGTCACAGAAGTGTTGAGGACTTTTGTTCGTAGGGTTGTTATGAGTTGCCTGAGACTTGCTGGCACTTAATAATAACAACAACATCTATATTTAAAGTAGGGAGCTCTGGTGGCCTAGTGGCAAGAAGCTGTGCTGCAATCCTGAAGGTATGTGGTTCAAGGCCACCAGCTGCTCTGTGGGAGGACGGGCAGTCTCCTCCTGTGCGGTTCATTGCCTCTGAAAACCTGCTGATGGGTCAGCTATGGGTCATTTCTAACTCTATGGTACACAACAACAATAACATATGTAAAGTGCTTTTGTTGTTAGGTGCTATTGGCTCAACTATGACTCATAGTGACCCCAGGAACAAGATCTAAACCTCACCCTGTCCTGGTCCATCTTAAGGTCTCTGATATTCTCAGACCCATTGTTAGAGTTTCCAGGTCAATACATTGAATCCACTAACAAATGTTTGGTCTAACTTGCATTGTGAATCCTTGAGTAAAGAGTGAGAAGAGGCCAGAGCTGTCTCTTCAGCACCAACTCCCCCTTGTCCTTGAATGGGACAGAGACACACCTGCAATGGAAGAGGTCTTGAAGACCCAGGCCAATGCTTCTAGGGAAAAAGTTGGCTCCTCGGGTAAGGAACAAAATGTTCCTCTTACCAAAAGGAGCCCTACCGATTGGAACTCACCCTCACGGTAACAATAGCAACCATCCTGAGAGTTGGCAAGTGCTGTGACCGGCACGCTGGAGAGCTCTGGGGTTGTGCTGGCCAGAGTGGCCTTGGAAGAAGGTTAACGAGATTCCTCCTGGTCTCTTTGGTCATAGTTGAACCAGAAGCTTTGGGAGATGACCTAGCATGATGGCCTTCAGACTCTTTTGATCAGAGACAGAATCTGTGAAATAATTTTTAGCTTAGACCTTGCATTAGAGGTATAGTTATAAGGTCTAAACATATACTAGGGAACTCTGGTGGCCTAGTGGCAAGAAGCTGAGCTGCAATCCCGATGGCACGTGGTTTGAGACTACCAGGTGCTCCATGGGAGAAGGATGGGCAGTCTCCTCCTATGTGATTAACTGCCTCTGAAAACCCACTAGAGGGTCAGCTGTGGGTCAGTTCTGACTCTACAGTACACAACAACAACAACAGCAACATACATATACTATTATACTAATATAGTTTATAGAAAATAAAACATATACTACAAACTCCAAAAAACTTAAAATGTGGTTGCTGTTTGTTGTTGTTGTTATGTGCTATTGAGTCACTGGCAACTCATAGTGACCCTGTGTACAAGAGCCCTAAACGCCGTTCTATCCTGTGCCAACCTCACCATCTCAAGCACACTCATTTCCACCACTCCACTCACAGAATCGATCCATTTCACTGAAGGTCTTCCTAAAAACGAATCAGAGTTATTACATTTCCTTCTTATTCTTCAGAAGTTTGGTCAATTAAATGAGGTCCCATTATCCCCATTTCGGGGCTCTCACCTGTTAAGGTCGGTGCTGTTTGTTTTCTAATCTCTTCTATGTTGTTTTTGGAAATGAATGTCATTTTCCATTAGAATATGTGCAAATAATATGCAGACAGACCTTACAGCTTAAGGGAAAATTGGATAAACTCAAACCAAACTTCCTCATTCATACTCGTTTGATGCCTGGGATGGGTGTGTATGCAAAAGAGACAGTGAGAGATGATGCGAGAGCCAGAGCGGGCGCTGGTTGGAGGTCACCTCGGAGGCACGCAGAGGGAGCGTGGTGCCCATCAGGCCTTGCCCCTTAGTGATGGTGGAGGAGATAGTAACACCTTTCCTTTCAGAAACAGCAACAGCAAAACATTACAACTAGCCAGGGAGGTGACAGTCTTTACCTCTAGGCTTTTCACTTATGAGCTGGGTCAGTGTCAGGACAGAGTGGACACCAGTAGGGTGACTTCCACTCCGCGTTTTCTGACAGTATTACCATGTGAACTCTCCCATCAGTTAGCAATAACAATAAAAGGAACTGCAGAGAAGGGAGGTAAGGGGGACAGTGCTGTTGGGATGTCCGTCGGATGACTAGTCCCCACTGTACACATGCTGAAGTTAGGCTTGGGTAAGGGTTCTTTGGGGGGTGAGGTTACATGGTTGCCAGTTTGCCTTACGTGATGTCCTGGGTGTCCCTACATGCCCTCTGGGTGGAACAGCTGGGGACAACTCCTGGTCTCCCCTCTCTGTGCCCTTGAGAACGAGTGGCTGGGAGACCTTTTCACCTAGACCTCTGTGATGTCATGCAGTTTATGGCTCCGAACCTGTCACATGGGAGATGCATAATGGTCCTTTGTAAGAAGAATACAATCCAGGGACCACTGCGAGAGCTGGCAGCAGGCCCGTTCATTTCCAAAAGGCCCAGCATTCTGCATTCAGAATTCCGAGCTCCTTCTTCCTTCCCTTTGCCGCGCCGCACCCCACCATTTCCTGACCCCCTGGGGCCTTTCAGACAGGCCCCTCAGAGGCCCTTCTGGGCATTGTCAGCTGTGCCCGGAGAAAGAATGGGTGAGGAAGGGAGGGTCTCTCTCTCCTTCCAGCAGCAGTGGTAGAGAGGTGGCTGGGGACAGGGAATGGTCAACATGGCACAGAGGAGGCAGAAGACGGGGAGTGGACCAGCAGGGAAAAACGGTGGAGAAAAGACAAGATTAGTCTGGACTGATCACTGTCCAGTGATGGAGAGAAAGTTGGTACTTTGTAGAGGACGGCAGTTTTCGTGTGGAACAAACAACGGATGAGCAGTGTGCAAGTTGGGGGGACTAGAGGCACCTCAGAAGCCCTCACATTCTAGGAAATGAAGGATCTGTCTCCCAGGTCACTGTCCCTTCCTCCTGGTCAAAAGAAAACCCAATAGCAACAATAGCAATTGCCGTCATAATAGAGAGTTCTTAAAAACCCTCTGAGGCCTCCCTCTCTTTCATTGCTGTCAAGTCGGAACTGACCCATAGCTGACCCTCCAGCAGGTTTTTGGAGGCTGTAAATCATACGCTAGGAGAGTGCCTGTCTTTCTCTCATGGAGCAGCTGGTGAATTCGAACTGCCTGCCTTTGGGTTAGCAGTACAACTATCTACTCACCAGGCTGCCATCTACCTATTGTACCAATGAGGAATCTCAGAGAGGTGAAGAATCGTTCAAGGTCACACAGCCAAGTAAGGATTTTAGTCTGTTCAGGTTCTGGGTGAAGAAACAGTCTCAGAGAGGTTCACCTTTGCTCATGGCCCCACGGAGGGGCGGGGGAAGGCAACATCAGATCCAGGAGGGAAACCTGTCCTCTCTCTCATGCCCATTACATTGTCTGTAGATTTTTGACCTAGACAGAAGGACAGAGAACACATGGCTGTATGCTCACATGTTACAAGCCAGCTTTAGAAAGTACCAATACAGACCCCCCCCCTCCCCGATGTCTTCATTAACATCCTCACCTCCCAGGAGATTAAAGTTAGTTTAAAGTTCCACCCACTACATCATTTCTTCCTACATGCGACAGAAAGTATTTAGGAGTTAAGAAACTGTAAAAAAAAAAAAAAAGTCAACACCATAACCAAACAATGCCGTTTTTCAAACCTACAAATCAATAATTTATGTCCTCTAAGAGTAAAGTCTAAACATCAAACCCAACCTGGTACCATCAAGTTGATGCCGACTCTGATGATCGCACACACTGCAGAGAGCCAAGCACCAGGGAGCTTTCCTAGGCTGCTTAACGGAAAGGTCGGTGGTTTGAATCTGCCAGCTGCTCCTCAGAACAAAGATTGACTGTCTCCTCCTGTGAAAATTCACAGCCTCAGAAACTCTCTGGAAGTCGCCATGGGTTAGAAAGGACTTGACAACCGTGGGTTGGGTTGGTTTGGTTTGAATCTTAATGGAAGTCTATGTCCACGCCCTTTTTCTGTGGCACTGCTAGATGGGTTTGAACTGTCAACCTTTCAGCTAGAAGTCCAGGGCAAACCATTTTTGCGACCCAGGGACTTCAGTGTTGTTAGATGCCTCCGAGTTACTTCTGACTCACAGTGACTCTGGGTACAAAAGACCCTGCCTGGTCTTGCGTCTTCCTCACAATCTCTACTGCGGGTCAGGTCACTGCAACAACCCCTGTGTCAATCAATCTCCCCAAGAATCTTCCTCTTTCTCACTGACCTGTTGCTCTTGTTAGGTGCTGTTGAGTCGAGTACAAGCCACGGTGACCCTGTGAACCTCAGATCTGAACTCTGTCCTATCCTGTGCCGTCTTCATCATCTCTGACACACTTGAGCCCACTGAAGCAGTCACTGTGTCAGGCCATCTCGTTGGGAGTCTTCCTCTCCTTCAGTGACCGCCCCCCATCCTTCCAAGCATGATGTTCTTTTCCAAGGAGTAACCTCACCCAGCTACATGTCCACAGTATGAGAGGCAAAGCTTCACCATCTTTACCTCCAAGGAGCACTCTGGTGGCATTTTCTCTAAGACATATCCATTTGTTCTTTCAGCAGACTATGGGATATTCAGTACTTTTCTCCAGCACCACAACTCAAAGACATCAATCCTACTGTCATCCTTATTAATTGTCCAGCTCTCTGATGTCTTAAATTCATCTCAGTATGATATGATAATGATGTTATATACCATTGAGTAAAAAATGACTCAGAGCTGACCTTCCAGTGGGTTTTCAGAGATAGTAAATCACGCAGGAGAAGGTCCATCTTTCTCACA